TCCATTTGGCAATAAAAAGCTTGGCCTGTCCAAGAACTCACACAATTTTGGGGGAAAAAACCCAAACTCTTCCTTTTGCCATATTTACTTAAGATTATTGATGCAGATATAACATCTTAGTAGTTGTAATAAAATGTAAAACATTTTGAAACTTGAATTATCTAGGTAGGTCTAAGTAATGCTTGTAGAGTAAACATATAGTAGTGACTGCTGAACAGTTATAGATTATTTATGCCCTTCTCTAGCCAAACTGGGTTGCCAAGAAACAACGCAGACACAAAGCCTTGCGTCCATCTGATGTTTCTTCTCTCCATCAGAAGAGTGTTTTTGAATAGTCAGAATAGTGGTAAAATTGTTTTTTTTACCCCCAGCTTTATTGAGAAATAATTGACATATAACATTGTGTGAATTTAAAGTATACAGTGTACAATGTAACAATTTGTGTGTGTGTGTGTGTGTGTGTGTGTGTAAATGATTACCATAATAAGGTCAGTAAACACAATCATCATTTCCCATAGTTACAAATATTTTTTTGTGGTGAGAACTTTTGTATCTACTTTTGTAGTAACTTTCACATATACAGTTTCATAGCATTGCTAACTATAGTCTTTGGGCTGCTCTACATTATGTCCCCAGACTTGTTCATCTTCTAACTGGAAATCTGTACCGTTTGAGCACGTTCACCCATTTCCCCCCCCCCTGCTCCCTACTCTTAGTGTTAAAGTTTTTGTTAGGAATTCAATAGCATTTTAAGTGTTACTTGTAAACATCTGCTCCATGTTCTTTAATACATTTTATTCATAGCACAAAAAGCGAAAATAAGAATTTCTAGTAACTTACCCAGATAAACAGATCATGTAGCCAAGGGAGCATCGTTTTTAAAGCAGGCCAAAAAATAATTACATTTTCTTATTAATACTAAGTCTTTGCTTATATTCCCATATAAAAATGTTGAAATAATTTACTCAAACTTCATTAGCAACATATAGTTGCTGCTTTTCTGTTCATTGTAACCTTTACGTTATCTGCCTGCATTCAGTTTCCAGCCAGTGAACTATACGCTTGGAAGGCAGCGATAGTGTGGCACTCACAGGCCCGTTCCACTTGCCCCGCACATCGCGAGTAGACATTTCTTGAATGAATGAATGACTTGTTTGAAAGCTTTGTCAAGTTTGTCTCTTCTTATATTTCCTATAATCATTGCTCCTTCCACAAATAGTCATCTTTACATTAATATTCTGGAGAAATAAACAGTGGTTGTTTGAGGCTTCTAAAAAGCCGCCTTACAAATATGGAATATTTTAAAAGTAAAATGTAAGGCAGGGGTACTAAATGAGGGGCCTGTGGAAGGACTTAAGGGGTCTCTGAGTCCCTGAGAAAAATAAGCATAATTTGGGATGGGTAAGGTCATTTTTTCCAGGGAAACATGTTTCATGGATTTATTGAATTTCCAAATGGGTCTATGGACCCCCAAATGACTAAGAACCAATGTTCAACCCAAATATATTCGATGAATGATTGAATAAAGAAGATGTGGTATATACACACACGCGTGTGCACCAATAATGGAATAATACTTAGCCATAAAAAGATGAAATATTGCCATTTGCACAATGGATGGATGGATCTTGACAGTATTGTTCTGAGTGAAATAAGTCAGATGGAAAAGGATAAGAACTATATGATTTCATTCATATGTGGGATATAAAACAAAAACAACAAATGAACAAACAAAACAAACAGCCTCCCCCCACCAAACTCATAGTTACAATAGAATGGTGGTTACCAGAGGGAAGAGGAATGGAGTGAGGATGAAGGGGGTAAAGAGGGTCAAGTATATGGTGACAGAAGGAGACTAGGCTTTGGGTGGTGAGTACACAACAGAGTATGCAGAGATTACAATGCTGTATATCTGAAATCTATATAATGTTATTAACCAGTGCTACCCCAATAAATTTAATTTAAAAAAAAAGAACCAATATTTCAGAGGTTGTGGGTTTCAAGCTTCAAAGATAAGAAAAACATTAGTTAGTGGTATGAGGAAGTCAGATGTCTCTTGAGGAAAAGCAGATGACTATATTAGGGTGCTTTCAGTTTCTTATGATAGAAACCTGCTCAAACAAGCTTAAATAAAATAGGAATTTATTGGTTTTTGTAACTGGGGGGAAAAAAAACCCCAAACAAAAAGGAATGGGAATGCTGGGTCCAGGAACACCTGAACCTAAGATTCAAATGGTATCTTTATATAGGGTTTCATTCCTCCTTGCTCTTTGTTTTTCTTTATATTGGATTTATTCTCAGGCATGCTCGTTCCATATGTTGGGAAAAGATGGCTGTCTACAGCTTAAGCCTTGTAGACTCTTAGAGTCTGTGATTCCAGAGGAAGAGGGGGAATGTTTTTTCCCAGGTAACAAACAGGCAGATGTCCCAGAGAGGACTCTGACCGATGTGTTCAAGCCATGTGCCCACCCAGAGGAAGATGGAGCCCTCACCCATCCAGTTACCTGAGCTGAATAGAATTAGGGTGAAACAGCAGAAGTTCCTCTAAGGAGCCATTCTGTGCAGACAAAAAACAATGTCTACAGTGATTGAGAAGTTTTAGGACAGATAGACAAAAAATTTTCATATTAAAACTAAGGCGTATGTAGTAAGATCTAAGTGTTTTTTGTGAACTGTGCATTTTTCTATGTGGGTTTCAGTGTTTTACTTCGGAAGGTTTTTAAAATTTTTTTTTATCTTTTTATTTTTTATTTTTAAAAAGATTTTATTTATTTAATTTTAAAGAGAGGGGAAGGGAGGGAGAGAAAGAAACATCAATGTGTGATTGTCTGTCATATGACCCCTACTGGAGACCTGGCCCACAACTTAGGCAGGTGCCCTGACTGGGAATCGAACCGGCAGTCCTTTTGTTTGCAGTCCGGCACTCAGTCCACTGAGCCACACCACGGGTTTTTTAAAAAATTTATTTAATAAATATTTGAGCACCTGCTGTGTGCCATCATCATTCTTTGTACTGGGTATACAACAGCAAATAAAAAGAAAAATCCCTGCCCTTATGGAGCCTACATTTTAGTGAGGCAAGGTCAATAATAAATACAATAAATTACTAAAATATACAGTATTTCAGATAAGGGTAAGTGCTATAGATTATAAAAAATCAGGAGGGAAGGAGAGAGGAGTGGTAGTGCAGTTTAAAATATGATTGGCAAGGAAAGTCTTAGTAAAAGGGTGGCATTTGAGCAGGAAATGTTGAGGAGGGAGGGAGCCCTTTGGATATCTGGAGGAAGAGAATTCCAGGGAGTAGGAAGCACAAAGGCTTGGAGTGTCAGAGGAATTGTAGGTAGGCTTGAATCATTATGTGAAGCAGTGGGGAAGAGGAAGCAAAAGAGTACTAGAGGATGATGTCAAAGAGGTGAGAGGATGGTAGGTTTTGTTGGTCCTTTGAAGGCTATGATAAGAACTTTGGGAGAATGTAAGCAATCCGGTGATTTTGAGCAGATGTGTAAACTGATCTGCCATAACTTTCTGTTGTTCGTTTGATCTGCCTTACTTTTTAAAGGGTCACTCTAACTATTGTATTGAAAATGCATTGTAGAGGAGCAGGAGTGGAAGGAAACCAGTTAGGAAGCTATTGCTATTGAATTGATTCAGGCAATAAATAATGGGCACAGGCCAGGATGGGAGTGGAGATGAGGAAAAGTGGTTGGATCTGAAGGTAGATTTCCTGATGGATTGGATACGAGGTGTTAGAGAAAGAGGAAAAAAAATAGCCCTGGCAGGTGTGGCTCAGTAGATTGAGCCCTGGACTGCAAAGTAAAGGGTCGCCAGTTAGATTCTGCACGTGCCTGGGTTGCAGGCCAGGTCCCCAGTTAGACAACCACACATTAATATTTCTCTCCCTCTCTCCTTCCCTTCCCCTCTCTCTAAAAATAAATAAATAAAATCTTTATAAAAAAATGAAGAAAGAGAGAAATCAAAGCTGACTCTAAAGTTTTGGACCTGAGCAATTGACCACAGTAATTTAATGAGCTAGTTAAGATCAGGAGAAACAAATGTTGACATGACAAGTTTAAGATGGTTATTAGATATTCAAATAAAGTTGTTCAGTAGGCAGTTAGACATACTAATCTGGAATTCATTACTGGGCCAGAGATTGGCCTAGAAATTTGGAAGTTGTCAGCATATAGTTAGTCTTTAAAGCTATGAAACTAAATGAGGTCACCAGGAAATAAGAGTAAACAACAGAGGAAAAGTTGTCCAAAGACTGAGCTTGCCAGTGTTAAGAAGTTTGGGGAGAAGAGGAGGAACCAATGAAGAAAATCAAGAAAGAGCAGCAGTAAAGTAGAGGAAAAGAAGGAAAAGTCCTGGAAGCCAAATTAAAAAAAAAAGTTTTAAGGAGTGAGTGATCAGGTGTCAAATGATGCTGGTTGAGATGAAGACTGAGATTTGATGATTATATTCAATGATAATCTCCTTGATGAGAACAGTTTTAGTAAATTAAATTTGGTAGGGATATTTCTGTACATGCTCTTTTCCTTAGGAATTTAAATTCCATGGTTCAGGTACTCTAAAAAACTTCATTAATCATATAATCATTTAACAGGTATATGTTGCTATTTCATCATCTTTTGGTTCTCTATTTGTTGTACATGTTAAGTATAAAATTATGTAAAAAATTGTGTCTTGAACTCCAGATGAATATGCAAGTATGCTAATCAAGAGATTTATATTTTGAGGGTAGGACATATATTTCCTTTTGAATGGCTATTATGTGAAGTGAAAACACTTTCATAAACAAATTATTTTGTCAGCTTTTCCCTCTATATTTGGAGGTTTTAAAACTTAATTTTTATAGAGAAACAAAAAATCAACCTAAATTCATGATTCTGAGATCTTTTTGAATAGTTAATGCCGAAAAGTGATACCAAGAAACACAGGAGTTGATAATATTAGAATATTTTCATTTTGCTAATGAAAATAATAAATATTTCTTTTATTAGAAATTCATTGAATTTGAAGACTCTCAAGAACAGGAAAAAAAGGATTTACAGACCCGAGTGGAATCTTTAGAATCGCAAACACGACAACTTGAACTCAAAGCAAAAAACTATGCTGACCAGAGTAAGTAAAAATACCTCTCTTCATAAGTACACATTAAAGAGTGGGCTGTAATAGTACAATGACTCATCCTGACATTTGACTAGAGTTCCAAATACATGCTTGGAATTGTCATCCCAGACTCAAGAGTGAGACCTAGGAGCTAGGTTTAGTTCTTTTTGGTTCACATTTTCACGTGGCACCCTCGTCTGTAGAAATGACTAGATCAAAAGTACCTATAAGACTTTCCTCTTCAATTTAGCATTCAGCCTTTGCTTGTAGTTAACATTATGCTATATCTACTATGCAGGATTCTGGGGTGTGTGCATGCGGATCTTTTTCTTCTTTTTAATTGATTGATTTTGGAGAGGGAGAGAATGAGAAACACCGATCTGTTGTTCCACTGATGCATTTATTGGTGATTCTTGTACGTGCCCTGACTGGGGATCAAACCCATAGCCCTGGTTTATCGGGATGACACTCTAACCAACTAAGCTGCCCAGCCAGGGCCATTTCTTCTAATATTGATCAACTACACAAAGTTTCTTTGGTTTCTGTATTGTTTTGGGATTTACAAATCTAATAGAAACTCTAGCTTTGAAGTGTGTATAAAAAAATGAATTCTCTTTTTTGTTCCTTTGTAGTGGAAAACTGAAGGCATTAGGTTATCATTTTTCAGGATCATTTTATTTTAATATAATTTTATATATTACTCGATTAAAAAAAAATTACTGGCCCTGGCCAGTGTGGTGCAGTGGACTGAGTGCCAGCCTGTGAACTGAGACATTGTTGGTTCAATTCCTGGTCAGGGCACATGCCTGGGTTGCGGGCCAGAAGAGGCAGTTTATGGATGTTTCTCTTGCACATCAATGTTTCTTTTTCTCCCTCCCCTCTCTTTCAGAAAAAGAATAAAAAATATTTGAAAAGAATGAAAAATATCTTAAAAAGATAAAAATAAAAAACAATTACTGTTTCAAACCCCAAGGATGATTTCCCCTTTGGGCTAATAAAAGTGATCCTAGTTAAGTCAACATTAGAAAAAGAAATTAGGGAGAGATTTTTTTTTTTAATTGTTGACACAATTACAGATGTGTCCCCCTTTTCTCCCCCCTCAATCCACACTTCAGGGGAGAGACTTTGTGGCCTGTTTTCAAGTTTGATGCAGGCAGGCTGAGGGCTCTCCAGTTTTTCATCTCAGCATTGCAAACCTTCAGAATCTTAGGGAGCCACAGATGGCCAGCCATTACCCTTCCCCATATCACCCCTAAAGGGTGCATACAGACCTGCTGTTAAGGGACTGGCTTTCAGGGTGGATAACCTTCACTACCAGGCTTGCAGAGTGTGTGATAACTGACATAACTGACTGCTCCCTCTAGGACAATGGAAGAGTCTGGAGTCACTGGGAATCTGGAGTTCAGGCATTCCAGAGTTCAGAGAGAACTCAGATGGCTGTTAAGCAGATGTCATAGAAGGGAACTAATGGATGTGTGGTAACAGGAGCCAACTAGAGTGATACAGAATAAGCCATGTGTCATGTCTTTGTACCTAGACTGCTCTACCCTTCCTTTGTTAATACAGAACACACCAAGTGACTTCAATCACTTTGCTATAGAAATGTGAGGTGTGAGAGAGCTGCATACACTAGTAAATATATTCCTGGAGTCACATTACTGTGAGTACCACTTATCTAGTGGCAATTAAGCTTTTGGTATATTTTAATAGTTGAGTATTTTCTATTTAAAGGGGAAAAATTTGCTATCGAAAATATTTTAATCCTAACTTGATTGTGTTTCCATATCGGGTATTATGTAGTATTTTACAACCAAATGCTAATGGCACAGTTAACAGAACCAGCTTTTCATTCTTTTATCTATTAAATTTTCCTCTTGATTCCTGAAAAGTGTACCAAGTTTGGGATAAAGAATTTTAAAAATTACCCAGTATAAAGGCACTCCTTGTCTAGAATTCTTTTATGCATTAATTAATCTGATTCTATGATAAAGGAGTTATTAAAGGAAGAATTACCTTGTACTTTAAATTGCACTTTTGATATTAAAGTCTGTTAAAACATCTCTTTTAAATTCAAAGGAGATATTGCTGCTTTTTCCACAAAAGTAACCAAATGGAATAAATTACTCATCTTTCTGCACACACTTTATCTTTTTTATTACTAAAAATTGAAAAACCTACTTCCTGTTCCTTTCTAGCAAATGTAAACAAAATACAGTCGTCTCTTAATTAAGATTTGTTACCCAGTCCAGTGAATCATATCTACCTTTCTTGGAATTGTCATGTTCTGTGGTATCCATTCTTTTTCAAAAGTACTGATTACTGTTTTCTATTGTAATTCAAAGAAGTTTTTAAAGATAAGGTATCTTTTTAAAATAATTGATAGTTCTCTAGGGAAGGGATGGAGAAATTCCTCACCAAGTATTGGATATGGTCTTAAATTACATTTGTTCTGAAAACATTATTTTTGTTATTTATTTCTCCTCCTGGGAGTCTCATATCTCATTTTAAAATAAAATTTGGTGCCTAAATTACAATTATAAAGAAGTTACAGCTGCGGTTAATCAGAACCGACCTTTTTGGCCCTGACAGGTGTGGCTCAGTTGGTTGGGCATCTTGCTGCAAAGTGAAAGGTTACTGATTCGATTCCTGGTCAGGGCACTTACCTGGGTTGCAGGTGCAGTCCCTGGTTGGGGGCGTGTATGAGGGACAACCAACTGATGTTTCTGCCTCACATCGATGTTTCTTTCCTCTCTTTCTCTCTCTCTTCCTGTCCTTGTAAAAATAAATAAATAAATAGCCCTGACTGCTGTGGCTCAGTGGGTTGGACATTGCTCCACAAACCAACAATGTCCCTGGTTCAGTTCCCATTGAGGGTACATGCCTGGGTTGCAGGTCAAGTCCCCAGCTGGGGGTGTATGAGAGGTAGCCAATGTTTCTCTCCCTCTTTCTCTCCCTCCTTTCCCCTCTCTCTAAAAATAAATAGAATCTTTTAAATAAATAAAATTTTATCCCCCCGCCCCCCACAAAAAACACCACCTCCCTTCCCTCCCTCCCCCCACCCCCGACCATTCAGATGCCCAGAACTAAATAACACTAAATCTTTTGGTTCATGTGAATGCTTTGGGACTTACTCCCTTCTCCTACGATACCTTGGAGTTTTACTTTCTTTTCCATCTAATTGTTTTCCTCTTCTATTTAGGTCTTAGCTTTCACCAGATATAATGTGAGATCTTAGTATAGCTTAATCTTTAATTTCTAGTCTTTACCACATTGAAACAGCTGAGAAATATTTTGGAGGGAAAATGGTTTGAGTATTTTTTTCATTACTGTCCTCTAGCGTTCTTCCCTCAAATCTCCAATTATGTATCAAAGCCCCTTATTTTTAAAATAGGTGATGGTTAGAGGTAATCTTTAAGTATCATCAGTCCCCTATCCTATTGGAAAACCAGGACTGGGAATATATGTTTAAAAGATGAAAACATTTAAATGAGTGTATGTTATAGTATATTGATTTTTTTTTTTTTTTTTTTTTTTTGTATAATAGGAAACAATATGTGGACTATTTAAGATTCTATTAATTTTGTTTTTGGAAACATATGTCATGCTTTTTGTTAAAATTACTGTAACCCAACCTATTTTTGTACTTTTTTAATGTTTTAAATGTATTTTTAAGTGTTACTAACATGTGGTTTTAAATAAGAAGGCCACAGAAATTACTAATGATGATACATATAGTAGAAGAGGGATGGATTTTCTGGTTAGTGCCATTTTTTGAGTACCATGTAACAGTCTCTTGTCTAATCGCTGTGCTTATACTTACATAACATGTTCAAATCTTTAATTTTAAAAGACTGTCAATTCTGATTATAAATGTTTTAGGGTACATATCCCTGTTTTAAAAAGTCCAAGTTCTGCTTTGAAGACTGCTTCCTATATTAAAAGGGGAAATTTTGGTTATGTTTCTTGCTATTTGAGAAGCAAGAAAATATCAAGAAATAGGAACTGAATTAAAGGACACACTTTGCAGCCTATCATAGTGCGTACTCTCTCAGGTTGTCATATGATTTCACAGTGTTGAGAAGTTGAGTCTATAAAATTTTGTGGTCATGTTTAATTTTAGAGATTTCTGGTTGCTCTTTTTTCAAAATTTGAACTGCATAAGAAATATTTTTTGTTTTTTTCAAAAATGTTGTGCATTATTTTTTATTTGGGAATAACAATAATACTTCTTACAATAATACTTGCGAGCCCTGGGGAAAAATCTGAAATACGTATGGAGTGGAAAAAGGACATAGTAGATTGAGAAAAACCTGTTGGTACTTTTCAACTGTGTGAGCGGTCTGCAGTTACCAACCTTTGCTATTCATAGTGTGGCAGTAATGGGTTCTTCATCAGAAAATACTTTCTCTTCATTAGTACTGTTGTATATTGAGTATTTCTATCTTGTAAGCCAAATACCTTAAATGAATTAAGTAAATATAGACATTTTAATACAGTTAAAAATATTAAACTACTGTTGTATGCTTGGTATTTAGCCTAGGTGTATGGCTGTGGTACAGAAGAATACGATATGATCATTACAGCCAAAGGAATCATAGTTTTTTTGTGGGGCAGGGAAAGGTTATATATATGACCTTGTAGTCTTTTTTCCATATGGAGTTTTTATATCACTGCAGTTGGAGTGTGTATATATAACTTTGTATCTTTTCCCTAACATTATCATATTTTCTTTGTTGTATAATCTTTATTATTTTTTAAAATTTATTTTTCAATTAGTTGACAATACAATATTATATTAGTTACAGATGTACAACATAGTGAGTAGACATTGATAGAACTTAGGAAGTGATCACCCTGATAAAGGTGATCACCCAGATGGTCAGATCACCACCTGACACACCATGCATATGGTGCTGACTATGTGTAGTCAATAATTAACTTTTAAAAATGTCTGTCTGCACCCATCATCCAGAAGTTATGCCACCTATTAACCATTCTGTTTTCCCTGACGA